CAGCCAGGGGAAGGTGTGATGGTGTCGCTACCAGAAAAATGCAGTTGCTGGATTTCAATGGAACCCGTTTTATTTACAAACTAACGACCATACAACCAAATATCTTATTTTCAAAACCTTCAGGGTTTGATGGATTTGAGCTCTCGGACTTCAAGACATGATTCTGATTCTGATTCGCTAATCCCTTACGCACCATATCAGTTATTATTGTAAATTGAACCAACTTGCAATCTGAACCAATACTCATAAATGACTACATTATAGCCATCAAGTGATTTCCAGTAAAGATCAGGTCTGTTTTAACAGATAAAATAGGAGTTATCAGTGAATAAGTCATTGAGGAAGAGCAGATGTTCGGGATGGGGACTCATTTAAATGTTACACAACCCTCTGTTCATTATGAGGTGGCAGTGTGTCAGTGTATTTTGACCCCCATCTGCAGAGGTGGCAGGTGTTCCTTCAGTCCCTCAAAGAGCAGGTTTTATATCCCTCCTCAAGTTAGTTGCTTGGTTTCCATGGAGATCCCCAACAGAAAGAGGCTTGTTTTGAGGGGCCTGGGCCGGGGAAGGGAAGGCTTTACTAGCTGGCTGCTCTCTGGACTTCAGTTTGACTTGGGAAAAAAAGGGAAAATCAAGCCAACACAGAAAACAACCTAGCATTGTCTCCTGGTGTTATGCAGGGTTTATAACAGTGATCTTCTCTGTGGATTAAGAAAGACTGGACTGTCCAAATCTCCCCAGCCATGCTCGGATCCTCTCAAATTCGTCATACTCCTTTTTTGAAATAAACCAATTTGAGATACAGCGTATCTAAAGATTTTATACACTGTACATTTAGAATTAGACAATCCGAAAAGAACCAATGCATAGTTATAAGTCATTGACCCGAGACCCAACAGTAGATGTCTAGTTTACCTCAACAGGAGCGGTGATCAAAACATAAGCACAACTGGGAAGTGTCCAACCAAGAGGTTATCTCTCCAGCCAGGCTTATGATATCACTTTATCCATGCTAAGCCTCGGGTTAAAGAGACAAACTGTCTTAACCCCACAACTTTCAGGCTGCTAGAAGGCTGCCAATTATATGTCTTATCCATAACTGTCAAACTCTCTTGCCAAACTTTGTCATACGGTGGCATTCAGGGCAATGACAGTGGTCTCGTCTGAAAAGCAAGAGACAAAAGGGTGTGTTTGGTTTACTAACTACATTCCACGTATTGCTCTGGAAACTGTCATTACAGATTCTGTGGTATACTGATACAAAGGTATTCACTTCGACTGGTGTTGTGTTTGAACTGTAATGTGGGAGTATTTAAATGCTTCAACAAGTGATGATTAACGTGGTGGTCGAGCCGCAAAACAGGCTTTAATCTTTTTCATCCTGAGGGGAGAACAGAGAAGTTGAGGGGGACAAAACTCAAGGAGCATATAAATCACTGGCTTTGTTTATCAGTTCATGTTCCACCATTACTGTTGTTCTACACCTCTGTGTTATAGCACCTTTACCTCTGTGTTATAGCACCTTTATCTATGAGTTATAGCACCTTTATCTATGAGTTATAGCACCTTTATCTATGAGTTATAGCACCTTTATCTATGAGTTATAGCACCTTTACCTCTGAGTTATAGCACCTTTACCTCTGTGTTATAGCACCTTTATCTATGAGTTATAGCACCTTTATCTATGAGTTATAGCACCTTTATCTATGAGTTATAGCACCTTTATCTATGAGTTATAGCACCTTTACCTCTGAGTTATAGCACCTTTACCTCTGAGTTATAGCACCTTTAACTCTGAGTTATAGCACCTTTATCTATGAGTTATAGCACCTTTACCTCTGAGTTATAGCACCTTTACCTCTGAGTTATAGCACCTTTACCTCTGTGTTATAGCACCTTTATCTATGAGTTATAGCACCTTTATCTATGAGTTATAGCACCTTTATCTATGAGTTATAGCACCTTTATCTATGAGTTATAGCACCTTTACCTCTGTGTTATAACACCTTGATCTCTGCGTTATGCCTGCATCTATAGTAATAGAACAGCAAACGTATAGAAGTAGAAGAGAGGAATGCTGATGAATAATGAAATTAACATGAATAGATTTAAAGATTCCCAAATGTATATGCCCTGTCTTTGCTCTTCATCTTTCTAGAGTATTTTGACTGATTACTTTTGAGAGTAATGTGCGACAATTATTTAGGTTTCAATGTTACAATCGCTCCTAGCAGGATTATGTGTGTGTGTGTGTGCTTGCATGTGTGTTTGCATAAGTGTGTGTCTGTGCTTACTTACCACACACAACGGACACATTTAATTGGTTTCTTTTGCAGCCCAATAAAGAGCATGCATTCTAATGTTTTCAATCTGGGTAATGGTTCTCAGTGCTAATTTAAAGCAGACAATGATGATGCTAAAATGCCACATTTACAGTTATTGGTTGAGAATACATTGTCTGCATTGTGTGCTTTGTAATGCTAATGATGAATTTTGGACTGGCTAGGGTAGGGTTGGATTGGGTTGGGGGCAGGTGGTATATTGCCATACATACTTCAGACTCATTTAGCCATCCCATCACCGACCCCCCCCCATCCACACACACCCCACCCCAGCTTTACTTTTTCAGTTGAAATCAAAGAACAATCAAAATTCTTACATTCTTGCACACACTATATCAAAAATGATAGCAGTACACAAGAGATCTTTCTGAGGAAATGTTCCTTGGAACTGTCTCTGATCCATGCCTTTAAATAAAGTTATGATAATAAGCATTATAAAATGCCAGTGATGGTTCTTTCATGAGGATAATCTGACATCAAGTCCCGCCATGTTGTGCTCCAGTCTCAACCATATCCATTGTGAATGGATTTGTATACCACATCTATATAGGCTACTTTGTGATACACTTGAGATAAATTTCCTGGCTCAAGGCTTTTTTTTTCTTCTTTTTTTTTGTGGAGTGGGGTAACTTGGAGGACTTGAGCAAGTTCAGCAAAATTGTTGGGGTTATATTAGCTACTGAAATACACAGTAAATCTATTGTCACTGACTACAAAGCCTTTGGATTCATTCTTAAGAACATGTAATAAACAGAATATCAAAATCATGCATAAAACAAAAATAAAGTGTTAAATGTTAAATATTTAAAATTATAAAATAGTTTAGGAGAAATGACTTACCATCCCACTTTTGAAATACACATACATGCATACAAATATGTTCATTCTATTTATATTTATGTGCCATAAATTATAATAATATGTATTGGTTAATTAATGGATTATCCATTTTACTTTGACATTTACATATTTACTTATTATTTCCTAAATTCATACAATTTACAGCGATGGAATATCTCTCACGTGTGCAGTTGGCATCTCACGTTTGGATGAAGCAGTGAAACCTAGCACCCTCGAAGGAGTGCTTAGGGAGAATAACCCCTGACACAACCCAAGCCACTGGTCCTTGAACCTGACCTTTACGGCCAGAGGCGAGCTTGTCACCCAGCTTCCCCGCTGGTGTATTGTCAACGGAATAGTTTTCAATGGCCCGCATAGATCGACTGGTCCATCAAATACACTTTTGCTGCCCAGCTTTCCCCCCCTGTGGTGCTGCTGGTTTTGACACTGAGACAAAACCGAGAGAGAACTATGAATGATAAAGAACCAAGGAGGGCAAAAGGAGGCGGTTAGCCTTTGTAGTCGGGAGGAATGCGGAAATGTTCCTGCTCTGTGTCAAACTTCTCTGAAGGGGGTCAAGGCACATTCAGCCAGCGTGGGAAAGCGAAGAAGAGACGGAGCTCACAGACAAAATGGGGGGTAAAGAGCGTTAAAACAGGAAAAAAATGAGAAGAGCATGGCTTGGAGAATATATCACGCTTTTGTCCTATGACCTCCCAAAAAAAGTTGCAGTAGGACCACCCCACCCCCCAACCCCGGTATTATAGTTGCTGCTTTGCTTGAGCTGCAGTTGAAGGGGTGGTAGTTTACTGCTGAGGGATGGGGGTTACAGAAGCGTGCACCATCCGACTACCTGTGTGGGATCTGCGATGTGCTGTGTGTTAGTGTGAACATTTATCCAAAGGAGGCATGTTTCATCATTTTATGGACAAGACCAATGTGGCGACTTTCACTGATAACATGAAATAAGGTAGGCTGAAATGTTCATATTTTACTTTTTGGTTTAGAAACATGTTGTGTTCTTTTATCAATTAAGATGCTGCATTCACTTTTTCATTAATGTAGACTATTTAAGATATTTATTTAAAAAAAAAAAAAGCTGCTGTGCAAAAAACAGTGAAAAAGTTGCATTATTACACCATAACTATTAATGACGTGGAAAATGAGAGATATGTGTTTAAATGGACTATAGGAAGTTTAGACAATACAAGTCAGTAAACAACCACGTGCTCGCAACAGTTTGTCGCCTATAATAAACCAGAATTATTAGACTGGTTACATTTGGAAAACGATATCGTAGCCTGTATTTTTTTGTGTGCATATTATATAGTAATTTTGCTGAGTATATTCTGTTCTTTCAAGTTATTTTTCTTGTTTTTCTAACTAATTTGTCTACAAATCCCTCATTATACGCATTAACTTTATTGTTGTATTATGGACTGACTTATGCACTTACAGAACTTATGTAAAAGTGGTAAAATGTATATGTCCTTGTTTTAGAGATGCCAGATGTGTGAGGTTGCTAGGACATGAGGTTCATGCGCGTAATGAAGTGGGAGTGGATCAAGTCGAATGCATCGGGGGTTCTAGTGTTCATAGTCGGAATGATGACACAATGTTGTCGCCTACCTGGACCTCCGTTTGACCAAAAACAGACAGACATACGATGTTTACCTCTGCTACCTCTTGTCTTCCTCTAACTTAGGCATTGCACGTGCCAACAACTCTGTTATGTGAGGATGGCTTTGTAAAAATCCTGGCTCTTCACATTCGTCGGGATTCCCCGCAATATTCTTAACAAGAAAAAAAATCCGCAAAAATGGACAATGAAAGTGTAGCACAACAATACGAGCCCGTCGCCGAGATTGGCGAGGGTGCTTACGGAAAGGTGTACAAGGCACGAGATTTGAAGAACGAGGGACGCTTTGTAGCCCTAAAAAGAGTTCGGGTACAGACGGAGGAGGAAGGGATGCCCCTCTCGACCATCCGGGAGGTAGCGGTACTGAGGCAACTGGAGGCATTCGAACACCCCAACGTGGTCAGGTAAGCAGAGATCGAGAGGGGGGTGCATCTAACAAGGGCCTCTCCTCTACCAGGAGTTGCATTATCTCTTTATGCTCTTATAACCCCTGGTATTTATCTCTTTAAATGGCTGCATAATGTCTATATACACTGAGTCTACAAAACATTAAGAACACCTTCCTAATATTGAGTTGCAACCCCCACCCTTTTGCCCTCAAAATAGCCTCAATTCGTTGGGGCATGGACTCTACAAGGTGTCGAAAGCGTTCCACAGGGATGCTGGCCCATGTTAACTCCAATGCTTCCCACAGTTGTGTCAAGTTGGCTGGATGTCCTTTGGGTGGTGGACCATTCTTGATACACACAGGAAACTATTGAGCGTGAAAAACCCAGCAGCATTACAGTTCTTGACACGAACCGGTGCACCTGGCCCCTACTACCATACCACGTTCAAAGGCACTTAAATCTTTTGTCTTGCCCATTCACCCTATGAATGGCACACGTACACAATCCATGTCTCAAGGCTTAAAAATCCTTCTTTAACCTGTCTCCTCCCCTTCATCTGGACTGATTGAAGTGGATTTAACAAATCAAATCAAATGTATTGGTCACATACACATGATTAGCAGATGTTATTGCGAGTGTAGCGAAATGCTTGTGCTTCTAGTTCCGACAGTGCAGCAATATCTAGCAAGTAATATCTAACAGTTCCACAACAAATATCTAATACACACAAATCTAAGAAAAAGGAATGGAATAAGAATATATAAATATATGGATGAGCGATGTCATTGTCATAGCGGCATAGGTTAAGATGCAATAGATAGTATAGAATACAGTATATTCAGTTGAAGTCGGAAGTTTACATGCACCATTTAAACTCAGTTTTTCACAATTCCTGACATTTAATCCTAGTAAAAATTCCCTGTCTTAGGTCAGTTAGGATCACCACTTTATTTTAAGAATGTGAAATGTCAGAATAATAGTAGAGAGAATGATTTATTTCAGCTTTTATTTCTTTCATCACATTCCCAGTGGGTCAGAAGTTTACATACACTCAATTAGTATTTGGTAGCATTGCCTTTAAATTGTTTAACTTGGGTCAAACGTTTCAGGTAGCCTTCCACAAGATTCCCACAATAAGTTGGGTGAATGTTGGCCCATTCTTCCTGACAGAGCTGGTGTAACTGAGTCAGGTTTGTAGGCCTCCTTGTTCGCACACGCCTTTTCAGTTCTGCCCACACATTTTCAATAGGATTGAGGTTAGGGCTTTGCGATGGCCACTCCAATACCTTAACTTTGTTGTCCTGAAGCCATTTTGCCACAACTTTGGAAGTATGCTTGGGGTCATTGTCCATTTGGAAGACCCATTTGCGACCAAGCTTTAACTTCCTGACTGATGTCTTGAGATGTTGCTTCAATATATCCACATCATTTTCCTTCCTCATGATGCCATCTATTTTGGAATTGTAATACAGTGAATTATAAGTGAAATAATCTGTCTGTAAACAATTGTTGGAATAATTACTTGTGTCATGCACAAAGTAGATGTCCTAACCGACTTGCCACAACTATAGTTTGTTAACAAGAAAATTGTGTAGTGGTTGATAAACAAGTTTTAATGACTCCAACCTAAGTGTATGTAAACTTCCGACTTCAACTGTACATATGAGATGGGTAATGCAAGATATGTAAATATTATTAAAGTGGCATTATTAAAGTGACTAGTGTTCCATTTATTAAAGTGGCCAGTGATTTTCAAGTCTGTATGTAGACAGCAGCCTCTCTGTGTTAGTGATCGCTGTTTAACAGTCTGATGGCCTTGAGATAGAAGCTGTTTTTCAGTCTCTCGGTCCCAGCTTTGATGCACCTGTACTGACCTCGCCTTCTGGATGATAGCGGGATGAACAGGCAGTGGCTCAGGTGGTAGTTGTCCTTGATTATCTTTTTGGGCCTTCCTGTGACATCGGGTGCTGTAGATGTCCTGGAGGGCAAGTAGTTTGCCGCCGGTGATGCGTTGTGCAGACCGCACCACCCTCTGGAGAGCCCTGCGGTTGTGGGCGGTGCCGTTACCGTACCAGGCGGTGATACAGCCTGACAGGATGCTCTCAATTGTGCATCTGTAAAAGTTTGTGAGGGTTTTAGGTGACAGGCCAAATTTATTCAGCCTCCTGAGGTTGAAGAGACACTGTTGCGCCTTCTTCACCACACTGTCTGTGTGGGTGGACCATTTCAGTTTGTCAGTGATATGTACGCCGAGGCACTTAAAACTTTGCACCTTCTCCACTGCTGTCCATTCGATGTGGATAGGGGGGTACTCCCTCTGCTGTTTCCTGAAGTCCACGATCATCTCCTTTGTTTTGTTGAGTGAGAGGTTATTTTCCTGACACCACACTCCGAGAGCCCTCACCTTCTCCCTGTAGGCGGTCTCATCGTTGTTGGTAATCAAGCCTACTACTGTTGTGTCGTCTGCAAACTTGATGATTGAGTTGGAGCCGTGCATTGCTACGCAGTCATGGGTGAACAGGGAGAACAGGAGGGGGCTGAGCACACACCCTTGTGGGTCCCCAGTGTTGAGGATCAGCAAAGTGGAGATGTTTTTTTCTACCTTCACCACCTGGGGGCGGCCCATAAGGAAGTCCAGGACCCAATTGCACAGGGCGGGGTTGAGACCCAGGGCCTCAAGCTTAATGATGAGCTTGGAGGGTACTATGGTGTTGAATGCTGAGCTATAGTCAATGAACAGCATTCTTACATAGGTATTCCTCTTGTCCAGATGGGGTAGGGCAGTGTGCAGTGTGATTGCGATTGCATCGTCTGTGGACCTATTGGGGCGGTAAGCAAATTGAAGTGGGTCTAGGGTGACAGGTAAGGTGGAGGTGATATGATCCTTGACTAGTCTCTCAATGCACTTCATGACGACAGAAGTGAGTGCTACAGGGCGATAGTTATTTAGTTCAGTTACCTTTGCATTCTTGGGTACAAGAACAATGGTGGCCATCTTGAAGCATGTGGAGACAGCAGACTGGGATAGGGAGAGATTGAATATGTTTGTGAGGGTGACATCAATAAGTGACATCAATAAGGGATCATTGCTTTCACCTGGATTCACCTGGTCAGTCTATGTCCTAATGTTTTGTACACTCAGTGTATTTAATTTGCATATGTCAGATATACATCTATATAATGTCAGATATACAGTATCTGCCTCCTTGGGATATATTGCAGAGGCTTATGGAGTTGTCTTATTGACATTTGGAAAAGTTGTAGTTTTGTAATGTACTTTTTGATACTGGTGTTACTATAGAGCCCCACAGTGGAGGTGTCATAATACCCATAAAACCTAGCGGTCAAACGGAAATGGTTCCAATCGTTTTCCCACCATTCATTTTTCCTATAGGGAATTTTAGAAACACTTAAAATAAGGGCTGTGTTTCGTGTAGGCTTACCCTGGCGTGATGTTTTGATAACCATGTAAATCTCTCTCGGATAAGGTGACTTATCAATATATTCGGCTCTATTTACGCTCAGATTCGAAAATGCTAATTAGCGTCAAAGTAGACATCATGCAAGACTACAAATCCCTGCAAGCTCCTGCACATCTCTAGCTGACACCTTTGCTAACAGGTATTCAAATACAATTTTATTTGTCACATGCACGTGTTTAGCAGATGTTATAGCGGGTGTAGCGAAATGCTTGTGCTTCTAGCTCCGACAGTGCAGTAATATCTAACAAGTAATATCTAACAATTTCACAACATATACCCAATACACACAAAACTAATATGGAATGGGATTTAAGAATATATACATGGACAAGCAATGACACTTCAAATAAGGGCTGTGTTTCGTGTAGGCTTACCCTGGCGTGACGTTTTGATAACCGTGTAAATCTCTCTAGGACAAGATTACTTTTATCAATATATTCACCTGTATTTACCCCTCAAAAATTAAATGCTAATTAGCTAGCATTGGGTCAATTTAAAACTTGCACAAGACAGTTCACAGAATTGTCAATTGAGAGAAATGTTGTCAATTTATTAATCACTAAATTTACATACCATTAGATAGTTAATCCAGAGATTCTTACCATTGCCTCGATTCGGCAGTCTTGCCCAGATCATCATGGCATTTGTAGTTCTTTATGATAGCCACATTAGCAGCTAATTAGCATTTCATTTTTGAGGAGTAAATACAGGTGAATATATTGATAAAAGTAATCTTGTCCTAGAGAGATTTACACGGTTATCAAAACGTCACGCCAGGGTAAGCCTACACGAAACACAGCCCTTATTTGAATTGTTTCAAAAATCCCCTACGGGAAAAATGAATGGTGGAAAACGATTGGAACCATTTCCTTGTTTGACCGCTGGGTTTGATGGGTATTTATGGGTATTATGAATCAAATTGTGGTACTCTATTGTGCCATATAGTAGGCTGTAGGTTATGTTTAATACAACTTGATGGATGTTTTGTGTGCAGTATCTGTGACAGACATTCTTGGGTGATATCTGTTCACTACATTAGTCAACCTAAATAAGTCATGGGTAAAGTCATTCCCATTGCTGCTTAGAATGGAATTTCCCAGAAAAGTCAATGAACTGCTGTTGGGAATGAATGACAAGAAAGAAGAGATACTATATTCAGCTGATTTTGCCCCATTCCAGTAGCCTACAAGAGTTGGGGATATCAACTGTGTTGTTTTTAGTCCTCCAGGCCACAAGACAACATACAAAGGTTGTTATGCTTGCAGCTGTAGACTCCCATGGGTCAGTTTGGAGGTCAGTTCGGTTCGTCAGGGAAACCACGTCATTTACCGGCCCTGCTCAAGGTCTAACCTTGCCATTTAGCTTTTAATGAGAGATTGAGTGCTTTTGGATTAAAAGCTTAATGGAAACGTTTTAATAATACAAAATGTTATTCTATGCCCTGCTGGTCCCACCACAGCCTCAAAGTGCATCATTATTATTCTTTTAAACTGAATAAATGAATATATTGTTAATTGAGATATCACGTATTGAAGGTTCCCCAGATTGAGTTTCATGAAATGAGGATACAAAATGTGTCCTGACTCCCTATACTCTGTGGTATGCATCTAATCTGCCTATTCTGTACAGTTGTGGTTCCCTACACTCTTAGAAAAAAAGAGTTCCAAAAGGGTTCTTCGGCTGTCCCCATATGAGAACCCATTTTGGTTCCAGGTAGAACCCTTTTTGGTTCCAGGTAGAACCCTTTTTGGTTCCATGTAGAACCCTCTGTGGACAGGGTTTTAAATGTAACCCAAAAGGGTTATACCTCGAACCAAAAAGGGTTATCCTATGGGGACAGCCGAAGAACCCTTTTAGGGCCTAGATAGCACCTTTTTTTCTAAGAATGTATACATAAGCCCAAGTTTGAATCCACACCAAAGGGGGTCTGGTCTGGTCTATATCTGTAAAGCATGGGAGAGAGCTGACACTGAGCAGGATGCATTCTGGACCTACTGTGTAACTACAGGCCTGCCAACCCCTGGATGTTTTAGAATGATGCCCATTAGTCATCCCATATGTTCAGTGTCTGGCGAGAGGCTGCATTGTAGCAGAACAATCGCAGTTCTGAGGGGCGTTTAACCTCGCGTTTCCAACCGGGAGGCTCACTCGTTCTGTGACATCATGGGCGTATGGTTATAATACCTTGAAAGAATCACTCCTTACAAGCCTTTGATAACAGTACATGGGGGGCGTGGTGCGGTGCATAGAAAGAAAAGGACTACCTTCCTTAAGAGTTGGTGGGGCGGCTTTCCCATGCTTTACTTCAAGACCATTCACAGAGATTACTCAGACATGAACTACAATTTTACTGTTATTACTGCAGAGCTGTTGACGCTTTCGAAATATTTGAAGAAATTTAAATTTCACTGTAAATATTAAATATTTTAAATTAAATCTAAGAATTACTGCATGAACGCAATGTGGTATACAGACCATATTGGCCCCATAGTGCCATTGGAATAATGATAGAGCGATGTCAGTGAGTGGATAGATTCCATCCATGTTCCTTTCACACACTGGTTGGTTGCTGTGGTGAGAGATGCTGCTTCAATAACGTCTGGTGGTTAGTCATGGGCAGTCCAGACCCTGCTTCAGTTGCCATGGCGCATCACGCATTGCCGTGGTGCTCCTGGAGGAATGTTTGTTGTGGTCCTCGGCTCTTTGAGGAAGACACTGGACGTCTTCTCTAGGCTTTTCACCAAAGCTTGCCCCTGACACAACTGCCAGAATAATCTGGATGTTTGGGCTCGGTTTGTTGCCTTGTAAAAATACAACCACAAGTTGATGTATTGTGTTGGATGCTCAAGAGTCGCCAAGTGTTTCCCTCGTAAAAGTGATATAATGTAGCTACAACATTATTATTGGCATTGTCAGGATAGAGGCTAAAGGAGAGGTTTAGTTTCGTGGTCAGAAATCAAAACATGCCTGAAGGAGATGAGTCGGAACTACGTTTGCTTGATGAGTAACCTTTGCTCCCAGATGTATTGGCTGAGGCTTTAGCTCAGCGGGCTAAGGGGTCTTGTGGCATGCAGGAGACCTGGACTCGAACCCTGGTAGGTTATAGTTGCATGTTTTTAAGAACGAGAATGCCAATTCAATTACTCTGTCAAGGTGTTCAACCTTCAACTGATCTTGTTGAGGTTACTGTACTTCACCATTCCACACATACTCTAAAGTGGTGTAAGTTCACTGGAATAATGCCTAGGAGATCATGTTGCCAAAATGTGTATCATTCAGGAGTAAGGAGCCATTTCAGATTGGTTCCTTTCGTTTAGCCATCAAAGCCCCAGTATGTGAAAGCATTGCTCGCATTCTTTCAAACTGTCAGGAAAACTAGCCTGGACAGTTACCTGACACTATAAAGGAATTTCTTCCTTAACTGAATCTTGATGATTTAAATAGATTAGATCTCTCTCAGGTTTGGAATGATACTAGAGATCCTATCAAGTGTGCTCTCTCCATATTTCAGAAGGCAGTTTACACTGGAAAAATATGGTTTGTCATGGATGGTGGTTTTAAATGAAAATACATTGTTATTCCTCTTAAATTAAAGACTGATGATTTATGGCACTTATAACCTCTATTGACTAATGAACAACTTACGAACCATTTATAAACCCTTTATAAGCATTTTAGAGATTACACTTTTATATAAGTGTGACCATGATATCAGACTGACATAACAATGCTAAGCAGCAGTATTCACTCTCCTCCTCTGCCTCTCTCTCTGCAGACTGTTCGATGTGTGTACCGTGTCTCGGACCAACCGTGAGACCAAGCTGACCCTGGTCTTTGAGCATGTTGACCAGGACCTGACCACGTACCTGGAGAAAGCCCCTGATCCTGGGGTGCCACCTGAAACTATCAAGGTGAGTCTAACGTGAATACTGGAATTGATACAGATCTTGGCTCAGATTACCCTCACTTAATACCCTTCCCCATTGGAGGGGGAAACAAAAAAACTGATTTGAGTGTCTAGAGGCAACTTCTCAGTTGAATTGTAAATTGTACTCATTAGGTCTATGAATACAGTGCATTCGGAAAGTATTCGGAAAGTATTCAGACCCCTTGACTTCAGTGCCGGTATTATGGGTCATATCTTTTGAATGGTAATGGCTAGAATCAAGCTGTTTCTCTGAGGAAAAGAGGGAGACTTGGCTTGTACGTTAGCTACAGAACCTGGCTATGAAATGTAGTGGGGAAAGTGTGAGGGTTGAGCGAGACTACAAATGTAAATACTTTTCTATACTCAAGGGAGAGAAAAAGATAGCTAGACTGTTGTTTTACTATTAAACTTAATGGTGCTATTGTTTTTAATTTCGTAAAGCAGCTTGTGTTTCTTAACCAGATTCTCGATCTAAGTACCTCCCCGACCCTTCACCGAATTCGAACACATTCGGGGACGTCTGATTGAGGACTTTTGAGAAGATGGGAAACTCCATTTGAAACGTATTAACGCCCATTGTGTACGTTGCCCATGTGTCGTCAATGGGCTGCGTGGTGCATTCAGGGCAATTATGGGACAAGGAGAGCTCTCCTTCAAGGAATGAATGGGAGACAATTGGGCGCAACATTACAAATCTTCTCCGAGATGTGAGATAATTATTTTGTTCTCTGTCATATCGTATAGCTTTGGAATCGTAACATTACATACTTTCAAGGAAAATAAGCAGGTTTCTCGATTCATACCCTAACTTTGAGAATTGCGTGACGATTAGCTTAGCAACCGCGTGACGCAGCATTGCAACATGAACGCGATTGGTCGAAAGTCTGCTGGGTGGGGTGTTATACGTTCCTCTATTCATTTCCCAATGGGATTCCCATCTCCTCCTTCTCTAATATCTCTGGTAAAGCAGCGATTTGAAAATTAGTAATTTGATTTGATACTCTGATTGATTAGAGATGATCCAATCGCTGATGACTTTGTTTTGTACAACGCCCCTTGTGTCCCTCGTCACCACAAACAGCATCAATGATGGCAGTCTCAGATTAAAGTATTTAGCGAACGACAGATCGGAGGAAGAAATGTTTTTTGAATCCCGGATTGCCCCTGTAATGTATCGTGATAAAGAATCATTGGACACATAGCTACACCACACTTTCCCAGGGCATGTTTTGAATTATTCTGATATGTGTCGTGTTCTGCTTCCTGTGACAGGGTTGAATGTTGTCAATCAGATATGTGTTTTGTTCTGCTTCCTGTGACAGGGCTTAATGTTGCTATGACTCCTCAGCTGTAATAGGTGTCAGAGCAGACCTGATGATATTTGATAGACCTTAGTGCTAACCTGTTGTGACTATCGTCTGTTCACAGCAAATGGTCAGGTTTATGGTTTATGAGCTAATGTGAACCCTGTTATGGTGTTTTCATATACTGTACATCAGTGTAGCTTTTCAAAATGCAGCTGTTTTGGTGGAATGGCCAAACATGCATGATCAAGTCGACTGGATATGTTTTCTTGAAGCAAACTTTACCATCGAGGCATACTCAGCCAAACCACATAGACTCCAAAGCAAGCATGGAAAACCATTTGTTGAGTGTGAGTGAGATCTCCCCCATTCATTCTCAACATCCAAACAGCATCTGGAGGGATGAGGGACAATGGATAACGATCAAGTACAAGATGACAGCGGCACCATCCCTTTTATTTCCATGACAGTGGACACTGCAAACCCCGGCCCCCCAACAACTTAATTTACACTCCTCCAGACCAGAGGACACCAGATTGCAGACCCCCGCCCCAGGCCACCCCCACTGCCCACCCCAGCCCAGCCTGTCCATCCACTAATCCTGCCCCCTTTGAGACCTCCAGTCAGACCCACCGCATGGTAATTGATGAAAGAGGACCCGGGAATCAAATGAGCTGGAAGGACATCAAGCGGCCAGTCTCTCTCCCCCAGCCTTGGGGAGTGCGGCTGGTCTAACGTTGGGCCCTGTGCCCCCCCCCCAGAACCCTCATCCGTCCCCCGTCTACAGGCCCTATAAAAGACTGGTTAATGAAGCATAGGGAGGGAATTACACTAACGCTAACTGGCAGATGTCCTGTATTGTGTCCAGCTACAATAAACAATATGGCCGCCTCTTGCTTATTAGCATGAGAAAAGGGGCTGCACTCAGGGAAGCAATGTTTTGACTGCTTTTTATGTGGGCTACTTTTTTCTGTTCTTTTTTTCTCGGGTACTCTTCTTTTTTTGGGGCTTTGTTCTTGGAAGGAGTCGCTTGCCTCGTGTTTCCTAGCCAGCTATCTCCGGCTGAGCTGCTGTCATAGAGTGTTGGGCAACTTGGTGCTCTGTGTCACCTCCTGTGACATTGGTTTGCATCAGGTCAGGTGTTTTCTCATACTATCTGCAGACGGGAGATCAGATATTAAAGTCAGTCTGATAGTTTGACATTATCCCCAGCCCTACAAACTATTCACTGCTATTTGCAACTAAAATGGATGAACTCTTGACAAGCAACTGCATCATTCATCTTCACTTGCATCATGTACTACTGTATGACTGTTATGAATGAGCTGAAGCAGGAGAGAGGAGATGGAGCACCAAGGGGGCATGGTTGTTGTTTCTATGTTTGTCCTCGAGTCACACTTCTGAGATAATTGGGGTTTTGTAGGAAATGCTGTTGAAAGGAAACATGTCACAAATGGCCATTTAAAGCAAACAGAGAGGAACTCATGGGGGTGATGCCATTGTGTCAGCCCCCTAAATAACTGCCTCTGCCCCTATCTGTTGGCCTGCTAGGTCATGGGTGGATGGATATTCAAAAAGAAAGGCCTGTTTACGCTCTCTGGCCTGCCACAGACACACACACACATTCCCTCTGCCCTGTCTCTTCTCTCATAGACAGACACACATCCAGGGTCCTGTCCCTATTCCGTGCATTGTGAGAGGCTCTAGTCCCCTCCCCTCGGCCCTGGTCACCCCCGCGCCGTTTGCTAATGTTTTCTTCTTGAGTGTGCAGCTCATTGTTTCAGCTCTTTTAATCACTCACCAGCTGCTAGGGTCAGTGAATGGAGCCCTGCGCGGGCCCAGGTCCATGTCACTTGTGAGGTCTTGGCGACGGGTTTCGGGGGGGGGGGTAGGCCGCACCGCCGCCTGCTGCAACCCCAGCAGCAGGCCGATTCATGTTGCAACTGTGAAAGCGCCCCTCTTTCTCTCCATTTCTCTTTCCCTCTCTTTCTGTTTTAATCTGCCCCAATCTCTCTGTCTCTATCACTGAAACAGCCCCCACTGCCACTATCACCCTCAGTTCAGTCCTTATGTTGTTGTGCAAGTTCCACCAGAGAGAGGAAATGGCCGTTTAGCCCTTTCAGTTTAGCCCTCCTCTCAGACTCTCTCTCTCTCTCTCTCTCTCTCTCGCTCTCTCTCTTTCTCCTTTCTTTCTCTCTCCCCGGATTGAGTTATTGTGGGTATTGGGCCGCTGTGGGGCCTGTGGGGTCGTCCTTGGCTGCAGCTTGAACTAGTGGATCTACAATGATCAATCCTCCTCAGCTCAGCCCAGACAGCTGCAGGGTGGGCAGAGAGAGGCCCACCACCAACAGATCAATGTTGCATCCCAAATGACACCCTATTCCCTTTGTAGTGCACTACTTTTGACCAGGGCTTATAGGGAATAGGGTGCCATTTAGAACACAGATCAGAACTACTCCCCACAGCAACATGTCTTTCCTTTTCTGCTCTGCTCTCCCTCAACAGTCGTGTCAGTTATCAGCATCTGCCACACTAAGGCTTTAAAGGGACACACTCTCTTTTTTCCTAGTCGACAGGCTGCTGCACCGCATACAAGGCCTCAGTGATTTCACTTCTCTCTGTGGGACTTTTCATTTAGGTTTTCAGCGTTCTGAGGCCTGTTGATGGTTGATTTAGAAGATAAACCAATGATGCTGAACCTCTGTCAGGGATATCAGGTGTATTTTCTCAGTGTTCCTGTGTCATGTTGTACCTGTTAAGACTGTGTCTGAATGTCCATGTGTCCTAACAGGATATGATGTACCAGCTGCTGCAGGGGTTGGACTTCCTGCACTCACACCGTGTGGTTCACCGGGACCTGAAACCCCAGAACATCCTGGTCACCAGCGGAGGACAGATCAAACTGGCCGACTTCGGTCTCGCCAGGATATACAGCTTTCAGATGGCTCTGACCTCTGTGGTGAGAACCTTACTGTTATAAACCTGTTATAACCTGTTATAAAACTCTTATACATTTTTGTAGCACCCAGAATATACAGCTTTCAGATGGAACTGACCTCCGTGGTGAGAACCTTACTGTTATAAACCTGTTATAAACCTGTTATAAACTGTTAAAACGCCCAGAATATACAGCTTTCAGATGGCATAGACTTTAAAGAAAGTATCACTGCCTCCTTCTCACAAATGATCAAAAATATATAAAAATTAAAGAAAGTTGGTTCAACACAGTGGCGGGTCATTTTGACCCTAGGACAACGGGAGGGTTAATCCAGTGTTAATTCTGGCACTCTTTTTTAGATTTGGTCTAGTCTTAGTCATTTTGACTAAAATGAGTCTTAGTCACATTTTTGTCTAGTTATTGTCAAAATGATGAAAACACTGGGCCATTTTAGGAACTAAATGCCCTTTCCTTTTAGTCACATTTTAGTCACATCAAATCTGTAATACCTCATTAACCTATAGTAAACATAAATCACTGACTTCCATGTGCACAAACATACAGTGCATTCGGAAAGTATTCAGACCCCTTTCTTTTTTTCCACATTTTGTTACTTTACAGCCTTATTCTCAAATGTAGCGCCGGTATTATGGGTCATATCTTTTGAATGGTAATGGCTAGAATCAATGGTAATGGCTAGAATCAATGGTAATGGCTAGAATCAATGGTAATGGCTAGAATCAATGGTAATGGCTAGAATCAATGGTAATGGCTAGAATCAATGGTAATGGCTAGAATCCATGGTAATGGCTAGAATCAATGGTAATGGCTAGAATCAATGGTAATGGCTAGAATCCATGGTAATGGCTAGAATCAATGGTAATGGCTAGAATCAATGGTAATGGCTAGAATCAAGCTGTTTCTCTGAGGAAAAGAGGGAGACTTGGCTTGTACGTTAGCTACAGAACCTGGCTATGAAATGTAGTGGGGAAAATGTGAGGGTTGAGCGAGACTACAAATGTAAATACTTTTCTATACTCAAGGGAGAGAAAAACATAGCTAGACTGTTATTTTACTATTACATTTAATGCTGCTATTGTTTTTAATTTCGTAAGAGCTGCTTGTGTTTCTTAGCCAGGCAAAGGGTAGTTAACTAGAAGGCTGGTGGTGACTGGTTAGCTACAGAGAAGCAAGAGAGGAGCCTGCTTGATGTGTGTAATCGGAGGCGGAGCCGGAGCGAAGCTTGTCTGCCTGTCTGCCCACACTCAACGCTTGCTCCCCTGCAGCTCACCAGCTGATGTAGGCTAGGCTGTGTGTGCCGGGTGTGGCGCGTCCTTCCCAATGCTGAACACAACTGCGCTGCATATCTGTGCTGCTAATATTAATTGTACTTATCACTGAGAAACTCTCAATCTCTCCAAAAACTCTTGTCCAGTCCACTTAGTAGTGAGATTTTAGTCACAGAGATAATTTCGTCTCGTCATAGTCAACTGAAATGAAAAATAATTTTGTTTAGTTTTTCTGGTTCTGTTTAGTTAGTTATAGTCTAGTCAATTAACACTGAAAAATAGGTGTTTGATTAATATTTTAGTCACTATTTATGTTGACGAAATGAACACTGGCTTAATCTACCAACCAATCATCTCCCACAACACTTTTCCCCTAACCCCTCCCCCGTACGCTAGCACACCACAAGCACAGAGCCACGCCTCGCAGTCGTGTGATTTGCTCAAATTAAATTATGAAAAATACTTTACCGAGTAAGGTCACTCCCATAGAATTCTATGGTCACTCCAACTAAGGCTAACTTTGAATCGTTGATGTACCAGGCTTATATGCGCTGTTCACAATAGCCTCGGTACGAGGTTTACCATGTTATACCAGGTTATACCAGGTTATACCAGGTTATACCAGTTGCTGGCTAAAGGATGTAGATTAGACTGGGTCAAATACTTTTTGGAAACTATTTGAGGTTCTTGATTTTCCTTGGGTTGCGCTTTTTTGACTATTCCATTGGTTCAATTATACACGGAAAACCAAAATCCCATAAATATTTCACATACTTGATGCAAGTCTGCTACATATAGCCAGCCTGGTTCCTCTTCCTACAGTCTCACTAGCCAGACCCCATAGTCTCAAGCAGCATACGTCTGGTCAAGCCAGACTACCTTTAATATCAGGTATTTAAATAACAGATAGTTAAGAGATGACATTACAGAGGTTATCTATTGGGACTGTGTGTGTTACTTCCCAATGTAAGTCATATTTTTAAAGAATATCTCTCTCAGCCCTCTCCAACACAAAAGACTTGTTCATCTGGGACAAACGACTGGCTTCAGGCCTTTCCTCTGAAAACCTGATCTATCTATTTTTCTCCTCCTTCTCTCCTTCCCTGTCCATCTTTATCTCATTTTCTGCTCCTCTGCTATCGGTCAGTTGGTGCGCTCTTATTTCTCCAATTGGGTGAACTTCCACTTACTGTATGTGTGAGTGCATCCCAAATGGCATCCTATTCCCTTATAGTGCACTACTTTGACCAGGACCCATAAGGCCCACAGTGCACTATATAGGAAATAGGTTGCCATTTGGAATGCAGGCTATGTTTTACTGAGCTGGTCTAACAATGAGAAGAGAAGTATCTTGAGTGGGAGGTGAGAGTGAGACTGTAAAACATTGGGACATGAGGCCATAGAAAGTTCCAATGTCTTGATGAGAGCGAGATAAAGAGGCCACTGGGTAAAGGGTGACTTCTTCTCAGCATCCCAAATGGCACCCTATTCCCTTTAGTGCACTACTTTTGACCTGATCCCTATGGGCCCTGGTTAAAAGTAGGGCACTGTAAAGGGAATAGGGTGCCATTTGGGACGTAGACGGAGTGTTTTCTGGTGTCCGTCTGAAGTCCCTCAGGTAGAATGGGGAGTGTGACAGGCAGACAGAGAGAGAGACTGACAGGACGAGAGAGAGACTGAAAGAGAGCGAGACAGACAGAATGAGAGAGAGAGACAGACAGAACGAGAGAGAGACAGACAGAATGAGAGAGAGAGACAGACAGAACGAGAGAGAGAGAGACAACGAGAGAGAGAGAGAGAGAGAGAGAGAACGAGAGCGAGAAGGCAGGACGGTCTCCTGAGACAGATGAAAAGCGGCTAATGTGATGTAGCGGGCACTGAAAGGGCACCAGTCGGCAGGCCAGAGAGAAGATCAGTAAACGATATGGGGTGTGCAGAGTGAGAACGAAGGAAGGGCTAAAGAGTCGCGAGTCTCAGGAATCCCTGAAGTGGAGTGGACGTGACAAGGATGAAATAGACAGTGAGGGAGGGAGGGAGGGAGGGAGGGAGCTAGGCGGGGGGACGGAGAGAGATTGAGTCAGTGACCCCCCCCCCCTTTTCTCCCCCTGCTCCTCCCCTTCTTCCATCAAGGCTTTGAAGTGGGACTGTCTTGCACTGGGCTCTGATGTCCAGAGATAGCAGGACAGAGGATGACAGAGAGAGGGAGAAGGTCTAAAAGGGATGGGAGCAGGGAGAGATGAGAAGTTATTAGATTAGCAGACCTTAACAAGGGTACTTATACAAAGTAAAGATGGCATGGCCAAATATGTCCAAGGGAGTCATTGTTGTTTCATTTCTTAATGTTTGAGGATCAACTTTATTAAGCACTACCTAGAGAAGTTAACAGACAGTCAAGTTAAGATGTGTCATCCTGGTCTCCCTCTGTGCTTCTATTTGCTTGTTTCACTTCTTTTATGACAGACGGGACATGGCCACATCTTGTTAGTTAGGCAGTTAGAGCTTCTGTTCTGTAAATTCACCTGGGAATCCACCTTAGGCATCGGTGACAGAAATACAGATCCTGTGTGTGTGTGTGTGTGTGTGTGTGTCTGGAAACCCCCTATCTCCCTCCCCAATTGTGTTTCCTCTGGCTCAGATAAAGAATGCCCTGGCGTTACTGTGCTATTACTCAGTATGCAAAAACACAACCCATTCACAGTGAGGGACACACACACACACACACACACACACACACACACACACACACACACACACACACACACACACACACACACACACACACACACACACACACACTCATAGTAGGATTTCTCCCTTTCTGTCTGATGATAAAGGATGATACCCACCAGTTACCAACAAACTGAGAGTGACTTGTTTAGTTATAAAGGGACACAGTTACAGGCAGAAGGGACTGCCAAGCAGCCCAGGTACATGCAACTCATTACCACACCTGGCTCCGCGTGACTCATTCCAAACTACCCAGGGTACTGAGAAATGCTGTCTCTGAATAGAAGAAAATGTGTCTATTCTGTCTCCATCACAGTAATGATATGAATCAATATGATTCATATTCTGCTTTCTACTGGAGTATATGAGTGCTGAATTTGCATAAAGTACAAAAATGGCCTCTTTTGGATTTGTTCTAATTCAGAAAAGGCAGTTGACGGTTTATGAGAATTGAACTTCTCTTTTATGTGTTGCGTGTGTGTGTGTTTGTGTGTGTGTGTGTGTGATGGGGTCACTGCATCCCTCAGAGGCCCCCTGACAGTTCCTCCCCTGAGTGAAAGGGGGACTCAGGGACCACCCATTGGGTGGTGCGGAGGTGCAGATTAGGCTGACCCTGGGAGTAGCTGGGTGTCCCCTGGGGGTCCCCTGGGGGTCCGATGCTTTGTTTATTGTTTTATAATGACCTCAGCCTCCTGACACCTGATTGTCTGTCTCTGAGTGACAAGCCGATGTGTAAAGCTGTAGAGTTAAGCTGACGGCTTAGGAAAGAGGAAAAGAAACAGCCATGTCCTTTTTCCTCCAATCAAACTGAGGATTATCAACCTTTTGCTTTTCTCACAAGCACATGCAGAACGTTGAGGGGAAAACATGTTCGTTTTTTATGTATTTTGGTCCCTAAATCAAAAGCTATGTTATCTTGTCTCCCACACAAGACGCTTTGGCCACGCCAGACCTAACTCCTAATGGTCTGTTTCCTCAAAGCATATTTATAACGATATAGTGCCTCATTATTATAATTGATTCGGCCTGTGGGGCTTTCCCTGTCCGTCCATCCATTCATACCACGGCCAGTCATTATAATGGGAAGCAGACTGACTGGATTGTCCCATGAATGCCATTAGACACACACACACACACACAC